TATGATGACTGTTTATGCTACGAACCTCATTCCTTTATTGGCCACAGCAATTTCAAATGTATTTTCTAATACATAAATGTTCATGTGTTGTCAATTAGAACCCGAAGAATACTACAGTTCTCCATGCTCCATATGAAAGATGGACAAAAGCATCCGGTTCTGAATTCTGTGCTAATTTCATTGTGCGGGAAACATTGTACAAGTATTTTTCAACACATATGTTCCTCTGTTCATCGTGAGCACCTAGGCAGCTTAATGTACAATGACCTCCGACGGACTCTACACCGATCAAACGTCAGCAGCCCACAAAGACGTCAGTTGATTTTTCAAAGTAGCAGCTTGGTTAGTGCAATGATGTCAGCTGCTCCACACCTCCGACAGGCTCTACACCGATCAAATTCAGCAGCCCACAAAGACGTCAGTTGATTTTTCAAAGTAGCAGCTTGGGCTCTGTTCGGTAGAATTTATTGTTGCTGCGGCTGATTTGTAGTGCTAATCAGTTACGAAAGAAAAACACTATTCCATAACTTAAAAAAATATGACTAATTCTGACTTATAAGCTCGAGCGAACAAAGACCAGAATAATGTCAGCTGCTCCACACCTACGACAGGGACTTACCCTGCCTGCTGCAATGAAGGTTGCGTACGCATGATGCCTACCACTTGTCCTCGCTTACTGGATCTGAAGCCCATCTTAAGGAAGCATTAACGCATAAGAAATACTATGCATGTGCCTCTTTTGACGACAGTGAAGCAACCAACAAAATTTGTTTGGCTGCACTCTAATAATACACATGTAGCCTTCTGGCTTTCAACTATTACCTTTCCAATGAAAGCCTCTTTGGAGACCTATATAATGCTCCACATTGTTTCGAGAGAAGCAGGAATACTACACAGCACCATGGGCTGGCCCGCTATACGTAGGGCGCGGCAAAGCCGCGCCAGGCTTTCTAGTCCTTGTTCTAGTAGAGGGGTAAAGCAATAAGAACTAAAAATTCCAAATTTTAGATTTAATAGCAAAAGTGTTCGTGCGTTGCAACGGGACGTATTTGGAGTTAGCTATCTTTATTAAGTTTAATTGGGCAACCTTATCTCAATTAAATGACTGTTCATTATAAATGCAGGTGCAGTAAACAGGGGTAAAATGGTATTTTCCCCTCATAGTTGATGGTGTTAAAGGCCACATCTAACGGCAGTGCTATATAGGGAAAAAAAATTAACCCAATGCTAAAAAAAGGAAGCATCTCATATTCCCGATACTTTTCTCTCTGTCATGGTAGATTGGAGTTCGACACAGATCGCAAGTCAACTCCATAGGCCGTGATAGATTAGAGTGGTACGGTGTAGGTTTATGCGCACAAGGTTATTTTAATTTGGGAAGCAAATAAACCTATAATGAGAATTAACAGAACTGGCCGCAAAAGCTGAGCCATGAGCAGATGGACGCGATGACGGAGAACAATCCCAGTAATAATAAAAAAAAATAGCTTTATCTAATTTATATTTGCTTACTTTCTATTTTTATACTATCATGCGCGGATACTCCGAGGAGGTTCGTATCCCGTTACGATACGTATCGGGTAGGGATACTCTTCCTGGATACGTATCCAGGTCATACTAATGATTTTGGATACGTACGGACTGGATATGCATATACACGTATCATAGCTGAGTTTCGATACGGCCCAAGTAACAAAAACGCCCTTAAGGCCCAACTAAGGATAGCACATGGCATTGTACGCGTCTACCAGCCATCGTGAGTTCGTGACCTAGCCGGCTAGCCGCAACGCACCCCGCACTTCCGTCTCTTGCCCGCGCAGTTTGCAACTTCCCTCGATGCCTGACTTCCCTAGGCTCCTGGAGGGACCGTCAGGCAGCAGCACCGTAGATAAAGAGTTTTATTTTGTTTTCTATATCTATTTTTATTTTCAGTAGAATTCCTATTCAGCCGCCTTCAAGAAGCCTAGTATATAATAATAGAAAGAGTCTATTTAGATTAGGATTTCTATTCAAATTACCTTAAGAAATCCTCACGTACAGATCCAATATGCTTTGGAATCCGACTCCGTATCACGCTAGGCAAGAGCTATTTTAACTAATATGAACACGAGTTATATATATATATATATATATATATATATATATATATATATATATATATATATATATATTCTTAAATGGTACCGTAGAATAACTTATTCTATAGCCATCTTGATTTACGATAATATTCGTACCAATTTACGATAACATGAATATGCATTTGTGCAGGTAGGTTGCTGCTAATAAACTTCAGTTCTCGTAAATTTGCCTACGTTCATGTCTATTTTTCTATTGCCCAACAAAAGTATTTAAGAAGGTTGACATCTTACATCAAGATTTTTCTTATAGAATGGTCAATACAAAAACATATATCTTAATGAAGCGGGATACTTTGCTAACCGAAAGAGCAACGAGGCACATAATTCAAGACTTAGACATAGTCCCTCCGTGACTTTGACAAAGTTTACGGAAGTCCAGCATCTATAATATAAAACAGTTTAATTAAATTTTCTGTAAATATGTTTTAACGGTGTATTTATTTGAACTTGTAAATGCTACTATATTTTTCTAAAATCTTTGTCATCTAGAGATATTTGACTCGAGAAAAAGGTCAAAGTGAACTATAGTTTAGAATAAAGAGAGTACAAAATAAATGCATGTTGAGTACTACCTTCGTCCCAAAATAGTTGATGTTTTTTTATAGCATTCAGGTTTTGTCCCAAAATACTTAACATTCTCGCTTTCTAATACACCCTTCTCTTTTCCCAATACATTAGTGTTTCTATCTCTCTCCTTCTCATAAGAGATATTTTGATCTTTTAGCTATAACATTGGTATCTCTGCACAATCATATAACATCCATTATTTTGTAACATATGGAGCAAGTGGATAATTAAGCTACACAATACGGAGAGAGTTTGGCAAGACTTATTTCAAATCAAATATGTTCGAAACCTCATACTAAGTGGTTAAAAAGTTGTTGACTCGCACTTTTAGTCTTGTCTTATGTGATTAATTCATAAGTATTTCGAGGTTTAAGCTTTTAAGTGGAAATCAAAATAGATTTTGGAGGTATATGATTATGAATCCATGCTTTGAAATTCCAGTACCTTGCTTTGTTTATTGTTGTTGAATGGAAATAAGCAACAAGCACTGGTTGCAAAAAAAAAAGTAAGTGACACATCCTTGTTGCAAGGGTTGCTAATATAAACTTGGCAGAGAAAAAGGCTTTATATATAAGACACCTAGTCAATAATGCAATTCAAACTCTATGCAAGAAATTTGGCATATGAATAAACCTCTAAAAATAATAAAAATATTTGCGCTGTCACAGAACAGTCGGTACCCATGCACCGTGGAGTCAAGGCACACTGGAGAGTGAGTCAAGTAGTGACCAATAGATGCCGTGTTTTTTTTCCACAAAGGAGATAGGGAGTGGATAGCGTCTGGTCGTCTAGACGTCTGCGCCTGCTGCTCGCCCCAAATGATAACATCAAACACGCACATAACAATAACGCGCATGGGTCCAAAATTGTCAGAAACAACATTGACCGACACGGCACAACACCCATGTGACTCAACAGGACTCGAAACGCTCATGTATGCATGCACCTCCTGCCTCTGCTCGCCCGCACGATGCTGCTACGCCCTGCCTTATGCTGCTGCTGCCGCGCCTGTCAGGCCGGCCTTCCTGTTGCTGCGGCACACAAGTGCCTGCTACTGCGGTACACATGCGGCTGCTGCTGCACATGCATGTGGGGGCCGCCACGCTCACTTCGCTTCCCGCGCACACGCGGGACTGCTGTGCCCAAGGGGACCACCTGCTCCGCCTGCGCCCACTTCCCGCGCCTGTTCGTGGAACACTTGCAACATGTAGTATTTGTTACAACATTCCTCTGAAAACAGATGAAACATTTAAAACATACTCTTGCAACATATGTGTATGCCCACTGTAACATATGCAATATTTAGATAAAACACTTATATCATACGTTTGATACAACTAAAATATTTGAAAACATACACTTTGTAGCATACGTGTATGACCACTGCAACATATGCAACATCTAGATAAAACACTTGCAACATATACGTTTGAAACAACTGAAACATTTAAAAAACATACAAGTCCAGTGTACGTGTATAGCCAGTGCAACATATGCAACATTCAGATAAACCACTTGCAAACATACGTTTGAAAACAACATAAACATTTAAAACATACACTTACAACATACGTGTATAAACATTACAACATATGCAACACAAGATCTATTTTTGCAACATCCAAATAAAACATATGCAACATACATCTGAAACTCATGAAACATACTGTTGTAACGTGTGTTCAGCTACTTGTTGCCGCCTAACAGATGCTCGTTGATGCGAAGCTCGATGCCATGGCGCGAAGGTCGCCCACGGTCCACGGACCTCGGCTGTGCGCAGCGCGAGTCTAAACAGGAGGCGTGAGGTGCGGCGGAGTGCAGCGCGAGGCGCGAGGCACAGGCAATGCGAGGCGCGAGCAGCGCGTAACGTGAGGCACGAGGAACGGATGGGGCACGAGGCACAAGGTGCAAGGGCGTGAGGCACAGGGGCAGACAGGTCCGTCCCGTCCGCCCAGACAAACACGGGGTTTTCTAATGGTTTTGACTCAAATCAACTGTAAAATAAGTGGACTCACGGGCCAGTCAAACAGTAAATTCCGATTTGTATCTAAGATAAAAAAAATCCGAATTGTATCAGAAAAGTTTCTAAACATGTATTTTACAATTTTTTTGGAGCAATTACTGGCCTTCCAAAAAAGATCCTAAAAATAAAACAAAACATCTCTATAAAACCGAAAAGTAATAAATAGAGGAAAACCTCGCAACCCACCCCGACCCTGCCCTTCCTTCCTCTTCCCGTTCCCTCCCCTTCCCCTTCCGGCAACCGGCGAACCCATCCATCCGGCGGCGGCGAAGATGATCATCCCGGTGCGCTGCTTCACATGCGGCAAGGTATCGCAGCTTCCCCCCTCCGATCCGTGCCTAGGCGCGCCTGCGGGTTCTCTGCTCCGTGCGCCAGGGTTTAGTTGCGTCGTCTTCTCAATTTTGGGTCATAATCCATCTAATTTGTGGCTCAGGTGATCGGGGACAAATGGGATGCATACCTTGAACTCGTCCAGGCGGACTATGACGAGAGGTAGGTTGAGTTCTCCCAACCAGTAGCTACCGCCTCTAATCTAAGAATCTATATCTGTTCGCTTTTTTCTATATGTTCAAATCCTTGTGGGATGGATTCAGTTAGTTTGTTAATTAACAAGACTCTGACAATACTCACCAGGCACGCAGGATTGGTTGGGGGGGGGGCGGCAATGTGTGTCATAGCTTTGGTGATCTACTACGTCTGTTGTGCAGTATGGTGAATTTACATGAACCACATATCCAGCTTGAGTTCTGTGGTGATTCCTGTGGAAGTGTGGACTAATTAGAGTAATATTGTATTTCTGAAGTGCCTTTTATTGAGGAATCTGATGCTTGTATGTGATAGGAACGTCACAGATAACCTGATTCTGTAGCATTTGGTGGTCTACACATGTTTGACCCGACTCTGTCTGGCATGTTTGTATGGTGTTCTTAAGTAGATTTGAATGTTGTTAGGAATTAGGATCATCCAAATCTATTTCTGGCTTCAAAGAAAGGTAAAAGCAAATAAATCCTTGCAGTCAGCTGCAGTAATTCAACACAGATTCACAGAGGTGCCTGTGCACAATCTTTGGGTGTGAACATACTTCTACTTTTCACATTTTTCAAATAATGAGAAGATGCATACTTAAGAAGGAAAATAAAAGAAGATGAAGCTGCTGTTGCAATTGTTGAGGTGTGGTAGCTCTTCCCATGCATTATCCCTAGGAAACCATGCTTCACAGATACCAAATAGAGTTAAACAAGTTAGGTAAAAAGGTAATTATCAGGGTCTACTGATGACTAGAGAGCACACAAAATCATTAGGATGTGACTAGAATATGGCTCTATGGATTTAGGAGTTTTTCCCATTAGAATTTTGATTTTGATACATGTGACTCAGAAACTGGCAATGCTTCAATTTATGAATTTTTGAAGTTTTATATATAGCAGTTAAGCCTAAACTATGATAAAACTTGCGGGGCCTGCATTTGCTTGAGATTGAATCATTTTTTTAACCATTCCAGAACATGGACTTATACTTGCAGTTTGTTTCTTTTAGCAAAGCCCCCTGAACCTTTTGCCAACAGTATGTTTGCACTATAGGAGGCTATGATCTTTTCTAACAAGAACAGTCATTTCTTTGTATCGCAGCCAAATCTCCTTTTCAGGCATAAGGTTGAGTTTGGTGCCATTTAGCATTAATTTAGCTTAAAAAATTACTTCCACAATTAACTTTCACGTCACATGCAGCATTATTAAGTTGTCCCGCTAATCATGATTGGTCAGGCACTCTGGGACGACTGGTGCAGTCAGAAATCTTATTGTCCAATTAACTTGTGATTAATCATGATTAGTTGTCCGATTAGCTCAAGGATGACAAGCCTGGAGAGAGAGAGAGAGTTGTGAGATGCTCAGCTGGGCCTGGGGGCACTTGGCCTTTGTTTTTGGCCCAGAAGTATATGACCATGCTTGATGCTTGCTTTGTTTACCAATTTATGATTATGACAATGTCTTTGTGCAGTGTGCAGTGTGCAGTTGTGCTCTGGTGTAAACTTGTATCAGTACTTTAACTACTTGATGCTTAACTTAATAACTTAATACTTACAGTTAAATTGTATACATCCTGGGTAGTAGGGCAAGTAGGCCAGACAATTATACTGCTCCCTAGCCAACTAGCCACCAAATCAGATCTGATCAGCTGATTGGTACCCATACGACTAGGCTCGATGAGGTGATCTGAAAAGATTGAGGATGGGTGTGCTAAGAATCATTTAACAAAAAGCTTCATATATTTTTTCTATGCAATTCCTTTTTATTGAAATGATTGCAGATTGTCTTCAATTGAATCAGCTGGTACGAATCCTCATATGGGGTCACCTGTGGTAGTTTAGTTTATATATATCGAATAAAAGAACTTGCTGAATGTGGCCTTCCACGGTACAATCTTACGGATTTATGGAGAGCTGGGAGGGTTGTACAAGTTTAGCAGACTTTCAAACTTCCGATCACATAAATATGAAAATGTTTAGCTAATCTGGACACTTCTACCAAATCCCAATTAAGCAATGTTTTCCCGGTACATCTATTTGCAGGGTAGCTCTGACTGCCTTGAAGTTAAACCGTTACTGCTGTAGGCGAATGCTGATGACCCATGTCGACCTCATTGAGAATCTCCTCAACTACAACAGTAAGTCGAACTGTTCAGTACTGTTGCGTGCAGTCTTCACTAAGATTCGTTTTATTATTTCCCTAGCATGTCACTAACACTCTCATTCGTCGACAGCGCTGGAGAAGACTGCCTGACACTGACAGTTAAGCGAACCTGGCAAGCTCGACTGCTAGTCCGTCGCACCTAGTACCCTTCATCGGAGTGTTATCCTGTGTTAGTGCTGTTCTGTGTTTCTCCTAGTCTAAGATGTGGCTATTTCATGAGTTTACTTGGAAGGACTAGGTAACTTCTGAGTCCAACCAGGGATTTGCCATTCTTCCATGTGACCGGTTCTGAACAACTTAATACAGCAAATCAGCAAGAATCATGGGCGTAGTAATTGGCATGCATCTGCTCTGTTAATTGTTATCCTTAGTGTCAATTCTCCATATGCTCTGTTCTCTAGGGGTATTGTTTCTGTTCCCTGCACTCACCGATTTGCGTAACTGCAGAGCTTCATGCTCCGTATGCGCCTGTTCTATTGTGAATTTGCCTTTGTTACCTGTCATTTCCACGTCTGGAGAGACCTATGAGTCTATGACGTGCATAAATCACCTGTCCTTGCACCGTCGCGAGAGGCCTGTGACTGTGACTTGCCCATTAGATAGATTAGATTGATAGATTATTATCCATGTGCAAGTGTAACGATTATTCTGATCGTTCCTGTAACGGCCGTGGCTCGGTGTCGGTTTGCTCATGTTGTTAGTGGTTGAATTCTTGCTCTGGGTAGTAATAGAATTCTTACTCTCATTTAGAGAGGATAACACTAGGAGTTGGGACAATTTTCTGGTTTATTTCTCACATAAATGCCATGCCAACATGAGAGTTGGGGATACATATTTATAGGCTGCTAGCCAGCTAATTATATCCTAGATGCTGTCCTAGATGCTAGTCCTAAATGCTAAGATGTTGTCCTAGCTAGTCAAGAATGCTGTCCTTGATGGGCAGCAACACCACCATGGGCAGCAAGACCACCATGCTGCTGCAACCCCACAAAGACTGCTGCAGCCCCACAAAGACCACAGAGACTTATCCATCATTCTTCCCCTAAGTCTTGTGCGTCGTCTTGTGGGAAAGTTGAACCAACTTGATCCTCCCAAGAGGCTTGGTAAGCAGGTCCGCAAACTGATCCTTGGTGTTGATGTAGCTCGCCTTGATGCTCTCTTCCTCCAAACAGCCTCGGATGAAGTGGTACCTTACCCGGATGTGCTTACTCCGTTTATGGAAAACGGGGTTCTTTACCAGGGCCAGAGCGGACTTGCTGTCCATCCTAAGCTCCACCACTCTAATGTCTCTGCCTAGGAGATCACTAAGCAATCGAGCGAGCCAAAGCGTCTGAGTCGAAGCGGTGGAGGCCGCTATGTACTCGGCCTCGCAGCTAGACAGGGTCACCACCTGCTGCTTGACCGACTGCCAGTTAACGAGGCACTTGCCGAGGAGGAAGAGGATCCCGCTCGTGCTCTTGCTGGTGTCGATGTCGCCGGCGTGGTCGCTGTCGCTGTACCCGACAAAGTGTGCCGCCCCAGGGCACCTAGGGTAGTAGAGGCCGTGGTTGAGAGTCCCCGCAACATAGCGGATGATCCTCTTCACAGCTTGCTGGTGCTCCGTCGTCGGTCGCTGCATGAACCGACTAACGTAGCCGACGGAGAATGCCAAATCCGGCTGTGTGTGGGCGAGGTAGCGAAGGCTCCCCACAAGACGTCGGTACTGCGTAGCGTCCACCTCCTCCGTCATGCTGTCGCGGCTCAGCTTCAGCCTCTCCTCCATCGGAGTGAGAGCTGGGTTGACGACGCGCTTGGCGTAGGCGGTCTGTCGAAGCGTGATCCCGGAGTCATCCTGGTGCACCTCGATTCCCAGTTAGAAGGAGAGAGGCCCCAGGTCCTTCATCTCTTCCTTGAATGCCGCCACCTCCGCATCCTTGGTGCCGGTGATCACCAAGTCGTCGACGTAGACACCCACCAGCAGAGCATTTCCTCCACTACCCCGTCGGTAGATGGCCGCCTCGTGCGGGCTTTGCTCGAAGCCCATCCCCTTTAGCGTGGAATCCAACTTGGCATTCCACGCCCTCGGTGCCTGCCGCAAGCCATAGAGGGCCTTGCGTAGGCGGAGCACCTTGCCCTCCTTGCCGGGGATCGCAAATCCCGGCGGTTGGTGCACGTAGACCTCCTCTTTCAAGTCGCCGTTAAGGAACGCTAACTTGACGTCCATGTGATGAACACGCCAGCCCTCCTGGGCAGCTAGCGTAAGGAGGAGTCGCACGGACTCCATCCGTGCCACGGGAGCAAAGGCGTCGTCGAAGTCGACCCCCTCCTGCTGCACGAAACCTCGTGCCACCAAGCGAGCCTTGTGCTTGATGATGGCGCCGGCTTCATCCCTCTTCAGCTTGTACACCCACTTAAGGGTGATCGCGCGGTGACCACGAGGAAGGTCAGCAAGCTCCCAGGTGCGGTTCTTCTCGGCCGCATCCATCTCCAACTGTATTGTGGCGCACCATGCCGCGTGTCTCTCGGCCTCTGCAAACGACCGAGGCTCACCGTCGTCACACGCAAGGTGCAACTGCGCCTCCAGGTCGTGAGGCACTAGTCCCGGCACCGGCTGGTCACCGAGAAGGTTCTCCATCGTACGGTACCACAACGGCTCGCCGTCGTGGTACGCGCGATGCGCTCCTCGTCGTGAGAGAGCGAAGTAGCGAGCTCAACCGGGCTGTGCTCGACTTGAGCTAGTGTTGGAGTAGACGTGTCCGGCGAGGTGCCTGTCGGTGCTGGAGTGCGTGGCGGTGTCGGCTGTGGTGGAGCCGACGAAGAACTCATCGCAGCCGAGGTCCTGGCTGGAGAGCATGGTGCTGTCGGAGTAGCAGGCGCCGGGGTCGATGGAGGCTCGGGGACTGGGGTAGACACGCTCGTCGAAGAAGAGCTGCCTACTCCCCCAGCTCCCTCGAAGTGGACGTACTCGACAGTGAAGTCGTCGTACGTCGGAGCCGAGCCGTCGTTTACCGCCTTATCCCACGCCCATCCTCGCCCTTCCGTCGCGAACACAACGTCCGCTCATTGTGCGCTACGCCTGTGTGTCTTGGTCGAGGATGCGGTAGGCCT